GGGAGACAAGGAACAGTGAGTAGGATGAGCAGTAGACCGAGAAAATTGACAAAATCTTTGTTAACCTAATGGGGAATCCCTGAGCAAAGATCAACTGTTAGTAGAATTCCCCCATTGGATAGGCATGACCAAGCTTTAATATTGGCATCATGTTTAGTAATTGATGGGGAGCAATCTCAGAAGAACATGGCTCAGCATGACTGTGCTCCAGATTCAAGTTTGTGGCAGCTGTAGGCTGTCACCAGCAACACACTTCTTAGGAAGTTCTCTTGAAATGAGATTTGAGTGGTATGCTTCCACCATCACAACATGTCAGTTTTTGAATGTTCCAGAACTATTTTTCCCTGATCCGCATGGTTAGATTGTATTTTACTATGTCTTTAAAACTAGTATGGCTATGTGACTTATTTGGCCATTAGTTTTCAAGTTTAAATTCCAGATAATTGTTATCCCACTAAGGAAAACACATTTTGAGCAGAATTTCCACCAATCTGGGTCCCAATAATGAGCAGAGAAATAGCATCATTGTAATAAGCCATGGAATACCATTTTTAGTGAAGAATAACCTGGATTATCTTGAGATTGTAGCTTTGGAGGTTTTGCCATTGCAGTAATTCTAGTTTTGATACACAATGGGTAACAGGTGTAGTGACCATACCCCTGAAATCCACCTTGGACATTAGAGCAGGACAATTCAAAAGCATTAGTCAAATATATTAATAAACTTGAGCTTCTAGAGCCATTTACATTTAGAAAGGAAAGCTGGCAAACCATAGTTCCTAACAGGGTATTAATACATAAATAGAACCCACACAATGTAACAATCAGTTGTCCATATTTATTGTGCAACTTTGTGTTAGATGCATTAGAGTACAAAAAGAAATAGATAATAATCCTTTATATCATATGTCACACACTACGGGTTTCAAAGGCTTTTCACGATTTTTTTTTTATGAAATAGGTAGGGAAAGTATTAACACAGTCTTATAGATAAGAAAACAGTAACCCACAAAGATTGAATGACTTTACCAAAGTCATATGAAGGTCAAAAAGGGGATAAGTATTAGAGACAAAACCAGCACTTGACACAGTAGAGTAGGTGTTCTCTTATATCAATATGTAAATTAAATTTTTGTTCCATATCTTGAGGGGTAAAATTAAAAAAAAATTATTGTCACATTTTAATTATACATAATAGTGGTTTAATTGTGATATATTCTTATATGCATACAGCATAATTTGGTCAATTTCATTCCCTTGTACTACCCTTTTCCGTTTTCTCCCCATTTTCTACACTATTGGTTTCTCTTCTATTTTCAAGAGATCCCTCCTTGCCCCACATTTTTTCCTTTTTCTCTCTAGCTTCCACATATAAGAGAAAATATAGATCCTTGACTTCCTGAGTCTGGCTTATTTCACTTAAAATTATATTCTCCAGTTACATCTGTATCCCCACAAATGACAAAATTTCATTCTTCTTTGTGGCTAAATATTAACTCCATTGCATATATATACCACATTTTCCTTATTCATGTATCTTTTGAGGGATATTTCTGCTGGTTCCATAACTTGGCAGTTGTGAATTGTGCTGCTATAATCATGAGTATGCATTTATTCCTATAGGATTCTGACTTTTGTTATTTGGGGTAAATACCAAGGAGTGGTATACCTGGGTTATATGGTGGTTCCATCCATTCCTAGTCTTTTGAGGAAACTTCATATTGATTTTTATAGTGGTTGTATTAATTTACAATTCCACTAATGGCATATAAGTGATCCTTATCTCCCACACGCTATCATTTGTTTGTATTCTTTTTTAAAAAACATTTTTTAATATTTATTTTTTAGTTATAGGTGGGCATAATATACTTATTTTATTTTTTATGTGATGCTGAGGTTTGAACCCAGTGCCTCATGCATGGTAGGCAAGCACTCTACCTCTGAGCCATAACCCCAGCCCTCATTTATTTGTATTCTTAATGATTATGAGGGCTAAAATTCTTGTTGCAAGAATAAATTTACGAATATTTTCAAGGCCTACAGTCAAATACATGTACATCAATAAGGTGTTTGCAGCTGTATCACATATTGGCTGAATACTGTAGGCAGGAAGTGGACCCACAGACCAGAAACTTTCAAGCAGTCACAGGGAGTCCTGAAGCCCTTTTCAGTCCCAGCATCAAGTGTTGGGGAGACAGTCAACATTAAAGAAAATAATGAAAATAATAATTGCTTTATCCATGGCTTATATTTCTTAAGTGACTTTAATGTATATTTGTCTCTCTTGTGCCTTGTATCTCTATAAGGAATTAGAATTGAACCTATACCTTGTACTCATAAATCTGTTTGTGGAAACATACAGAGTAAGTGAAAATTGATTTTTAATCAAATTTTGGAATACTATTGCAAGGCAATGCCTTTTGAAACTCAAAATACTAAAAAATAAAATATATGTGTAGATTTTAAAATATTACCCCCAATTCTTTGATACATCTTACACTGAGAGAATAGATTTTTATCTGTAATAAAATGAGTCCGGATTCTTTTAGTTAAACGGTGGAGATTTCCTTTAAGGACATGAGATTTGGGGCTGCTGATAGGGAAAAAATCCTGCCTCTCCTGGTGACTCTTTCTTGGTCTTTGATTTCAAGGTGACAAACAGGATTTAGTATGCTTAAACTCCCATGGGCGTCGTATTTTAATGGAGTAGTTTGGCCTCACACAGGGTGCGAACATTTAGGAGGAACATTAGGATCCAGGACTTGAATCTCAATTTAGGGCAGGACTCTTGTCATGCCTAACACAGTCCCTGTCTTATAGTGAGGGCTGAAGGACAGACTAAGACAGTGAATGACAAATGCCAGGCTTCTTTTGCCATGAAAACGAGGTTTTCTTTTGTTTTTCCATTCTCAAGCCCCTCTGTAGCTTGTTAATAGAAAGCGGTTTTCTGCATTAGGCAACCATAGATCAGACCCACGAGGATAGTTTTTACATACACACACACAGCCCTATAGTCCAAATTTTATGAGCCCAAGCCGTGGCTTACAACTAATAAATTTCATGCTGAACTTCAAGCCACTTATCGCTTTTACATCGACAGAGGCAGCTGGGTTTTCTTGCACGCGATGCGCTACCCAAGCAGAAGCAGGGACTCCCTCATCTTTCTTTGCTCGGCTCCGCCCAAGAGGGAGCCAAAAGAGACACCGCAGTTGCGCTCAGCTCGCCGCGTGGGGGACACCCTTAGGAGCTCGGGTTTCCACAAAGCACAGCTGGCACAGGACACACAAAAAAAATTGCGGTGAGAATGGGGACTGACCCGCTGCCAGGAGCAGCGGCTTACTGGGAAAGAGACCCCACGTCAAGGGCGTCACCACGGTATGACCGCCCACTCAGGAATCCCGGCCCCTCCCGCGCGCGCCCCCGCCCCACGCGCAGCGCGCCACTGCCGGATCTTGAATTTCAATACAAAGGGAATCCTCGGCCGCAGGAAGTGCATCACCAGAAAGGGGGACCAGAGGCGGGGAGAGGGGGATGCCTCTTTCTCTCCCCACCCCCGCCCTCCGGGAGCCCCGGGCAGTGGTGACGAAACCTGCAGGGTCCCTCCATCCCCGCCCCAGGAACCCGAAGAATTCAAAGAAAGAGCGCCCTCCCCACCTCCCACCCCCCACCTTGCCGGAGTCTCGGGCGGCGGGGATGTGAGCTGCTACTTGCAAAGGCTCAAACACCTGTTCGCTTTTTCCCTTCTTTCCTTCCGGGTGCACGAGCACCTGGGCTAACATTCATTTTTCTATCCGTGGGTTCTCAACTTTCCTTTCACACCTCTTTTCCTTTTTAAGATTTTCCGTAGAATCCAGCTCTGGGTATTCCCCTCCACTTCCCGCAGGGCCGAGCCGCAGATTTGGGCGGCTTTTCTAGGCGTAACATTAGTAAAGAGGGAGTCCCCGCGTCAGCAAGAGGGAGAATGGCCGAGAGACCACTTTCGTTTTCTAAGACACCTGCGGTTCCTGGAGCTAGGCCAGGCTTTCTTCTTGGAGGTGTTAGTCTGGCTGGCAGCTTTGTTATTGGAGAGGGGCGGGGAGGAAAACGGTTAGGGGCTTTGTATTGAAGCTGTTTGCAAGGGAACCTTACTTTTTTAACTTATTTTGCAAATCAATAAAATAGCAAACTTTTCTAGAAATGCTTTATTCACATTTCACTGAAGAGGGAAAAACCATCCATTGTCCATTTAAGCCCCCGCCCCCTTTACTGTGGGATGGGGTGGGGGAGGCCAATGGTGTTCGGAGGAAGGTGATTGAAACACCACGTTTTGAAGCTCAAGGAGAGACTGAAAACCCCCAGAGTTTTGGGCCAATTCCCAGGGTTAAAAAGACCCTTGCGACTAGGAAATGGGGCGCGCGACTAACTTGGAGCTGCCCTACTCCTGTCGCGGGAACTCGAAATGGCAGGTGCACCGGAAGGGGGCCACCTCCTCCCCCTCCCCCTCCCCCGGGTGTCCTTGGCTGCCTCTGCTCCCTTGGACACCACTGGGGGGCCTCCCCCTCCCAAGTTCTAGGCGGAGGCCTGTTACCTGCCCGGACCTGTCTCCTCCCCTTCAACAATAGTACACCCACGGGGCTCGTCTCCCAGGGAGAGGGCCAGAGCGGGAACAAAGGGGTCTTTGTTTCCTGGCTCCTGGGGGGTGGGAGTCGCGCACGCTTCCCAACGCCCCTTGGAGACCCGGAGGCTCAACGACACAGCTTCCCCCAGATCAGGCGCAGTCCTCCACGACCCTACAACCTTAGGTCAGGGAGCGGCGCCCTGGACCGTCGCGTGCTTTTTCCGGGAGGGCGAGGTGGGGGACAGGCACCGCGCGGCGGCGCCTGGCGGGCACAGTAGCCCGCGGAGGGACGGTGGGGGGGGTTTCGGCAGCTGGCGGAGGTGGAGGGGGCGGGAGAGGGAGCCTGCGCCAGGCTGAGCCTGGAGGTGCGGGGCGGGCTCGGAGAGCGCTCGCGGGGCTGCTCTTGCGAGGGCAGCAGCGGCTGGAACTCGCTCTCGCTCTCTCTCTCCTTCCATCCTCCTTCTTCCCTTGATCGGCCCCATCACCAAGCCAGGCCCCCCTCCCTTGCCGTCATCACGTCCCCCTTCTCCCTTCTTGGCACTTTCCGTCCCTACCATCCTTCTGGACAAACTTTGATGGAGAATTTCACACCACGCTGGAAAAATGCCGGTTATGAAAGGATTACTGGCTCCCCAGAACACCTTCCTCGACACCATCGCCACCCGTTTTGACGGAACACGTAAGTCTTACACTTCAATGAGTTGCCTGATATTTTCCGGAGAATGATTTTTTTTTCCTTCTACATACTTTCGCTACCACCTTTCTTTTTGCACCAGAACAATGAATTTCCTTCTGTTCTTGGCAAGGTGTCTTTTGTGAGCAGATTTTTTTTTTTCCCTCTCCGGTGATTCAGTATAGTATTAACAGTTTGGATTGGTGTAGTGGGTTCTCTTGACTTCCTGGGTTTGTAAGGCTGTAAAACAGCCTAAAGAAACACCGACGCCCATATTCCCTGTGGGACCTGCATTTTTGATACAATGTTAGGGAATTGGTTATAATTCTACGAGGTGAAAATTGGGATATTGTGCAATTTATCTTTCTAGAGTTTCACGGCTCCTGAGGTTGGAGAGTCTGGAGTGTTCTTTCCTGGAGCTTCATTCCGAGAGGTTTATGAGCTTGACATGATTTCCCATCTGAGTTTTAAGAAGTGCAGACTAGAATCAAGATTGCCAAGTGTGAGCTTTCGGTAGACTTCTAAGTGTTGTGAGTTTGTCAGAATCTTCATTCCTGATTTTTAGCTGGAGTAGCATACCTCTTGATCCTGAAATTGGCTTAACTGAGTGAGACTAATCAGGAAGGAGTAGCTGGATATTATAAAGCCTGATCTGATTATAAGAGAAAGTTTCAACATTTTATTGATAAATATTACTGGATATTTGTCTTGTTTAGATTGGCGTGGGGAAAAAAAAAGAAAAAGAAAAAGAAAACAAAAATAGACCTGATGCTGGGTGGATGTTTGGAAACTGTTCGGAATCTGCAAGTGGTTCTCTTTCAGGACCACGGTCAGGTCCCCTCTCTCGTTCCCAGGCTTCTGAAACTGTGAGCTTGAGCCTGGGGAATCTTCCCAGTAGGCTTTAGCCCCCAAACAGGAGTCTGTACTACCACTCCTAAGAATGCCCTGAGTTGCTTCTACGATTATATCTACCTTTCTCCTAGCTTGTACAGCTTCTGTATGCTTCTCTCCCCCCACCACACACACACTTTTTTTTTTTTTTTTGGTCTGTTATACAAGACTCACTTAAACTCACTTATTCTAATAGCTTTTTTTAGTGGTTCAAGTTCCATTGTTTTTACTAGGACTGTGCATTTCTTAGAGCTGATATGAGAGAATGCATCTAATTCCATTTCCACTCCAGTAGTCTAGATACGTTCTCCTTTGGGTTGTGAAGCAAGTCTTGGATTTCTGTGCTTTTGGAATTGTTGGACAAGTTTATATGAGAGAAAAATGAAACACTTTGATTTTGTTCAGTTTTTATTTTTGACATTCAGTCTAATCATGGTTGGTGTGGATATTTGGTTAATTTCTCCAGTGTTTTTATCTTTATGTTTATTTATGCATCACATTTCTTTTTATATTCTACTTGTGCAGGCAGTAAGAGTGAAGTTAGCAAAACTGTTAGATGTATTGCTTCTTCAGTTAATAATAATAAAAAGAATTGTAAAAAAGTTCACATACCTTGCTACTACCACTACCATCATCACCCAAGCACCACCAATATTATCACTGCTGTCCTTAACCATGCACAGTTACATGTATTACTATTTAAAACCTGAGAAAATATCAATTTTATGTGGATATTGGTTCTTAAAATTGAACTTGTAAAAATAAGAGGCTCTGAACATTGATCCTGAATGCATCTCAAGAAAATGAGGTAATTAGAAAAAGATAATTGCTTATCTCATTGTCACTTAAAGTTGAATGGAGTACAATGTGTATTGAATCATCCCAGCAGAGCCCTGGGAATTACTGCTGAGATACATTTAGATATCAATTGCTAATGAAAGAGGCTTTAGATCATCAGTGTGTGGATATCTTGTCCTCTTTCTGACTCTCACTATAACATGATAACAGGAGGCATGTAGGGAGAGAGGGATGTATGTGTGAATCACTCTTTTTTCTATTTCAGCTATGCATTAATGTTAATATATAGGAATTCAGGCATTTCAAATCCTTATTTAAGAAGACCATCATCACATATCAATCTTTAACATAACAACAACAACAAAAAACTAAAACCCTATGGGAAGACCAAGACCAGGCTTGGTTTGTGCTCCATAGAATCTGGAGAATTCCTAGAGGGACACAGTTTGTATGAAATCCAACAATCAGTGAAGTAGATTTCAAAGTAATGAGAAAAATAAAGGTTGATTTTGGCAAGATTTTGTTTACAACATTTAATGAATATCTCTCCTTCCAAGAAGCCTACTCAAAATAATAGTATTTTCTCATTTGTATTTTTTTAATTGCAGGATGACTTGAATAATCTGAAACTTAGAGAAAAGAACTTAAGCAAATTTTTAGCCACACATTTTGCTATATCTAGAATCATGGGCATATCATTTCTGCAGCTAGATATTTAGTTTATCTAATTATGACATCTTTTCTTATTGACATGATTTTATTATGTATGGTTACTATCTCTGAAGCTCTTTTACTATGATTATTCTTTTTCTCTTTATTTTTAAGTAGCAGTTCTTTTGTTTTTGTGAGATAAAACTATTTGCAAATTTTAAACGCTCTCCATGCTCAACATAGATTGTGTTGACTTGGTCTACTTCCTGCTTTATTTATGAGGTACATTTTATAGTCATGCTTATTTCTTTTTAAAATATTATTTTGTACACTTTTAATGAAAAATTTAAGAGAGCAAACAATATTCCTGGCTAACCTATCCAGAGTGTAGTATTATTATTAGCTTTATTGATTTACTATCAAATAGAAAATAATAAAACAATTTAAGACATCATCTAAAAATCCTCCCAGGAAAAATAAACATATGATTATATTAAAGCCTGTAATATAATCTTTCTAATTTATCAGTTGAGATAGTATCAGAGAGCAACATAAAAGAAGTTAATATATCTTATCACCTAGTGACACTTTGTGGATTTACATAATAGGATATTCTTTCCTTTTAATATTTATGAAGTAAGCTTTTAGGATTGAAAGACAATTGTGAAACATTACATAAAACTATTTTTCCCTGATATATAATACAATTTGTTAATATTATTGGAAAACATAAATATTTTATATGTAACATTGTCACTAAAATATGTTCTAGTTTGTGTTTAATTGAAGTATAATGTCACAGAAAAACTAAGAATCTTTTAAATGTTGAATATTTCCCCATGTAGGGGGGAGAAAGTAAACCCAATGAATTTCTCCAATATATTACGTGAAACAACACTTCTCACTTGAAACACTCTAAAACACACACACACACACACATACACACACAGGTCACTCCTACATAGCTTTTTAAAAAACATGTTGACACATAAAAATTTTTTTTTAAAGAGTACACTTTTGTAAGTATTAATCTATATGAAGGGAAAGTATAATAATAAAACACATAAGTACATATTTGAAAAAAATAGTTCTTTAGTACAAACATTTGTCCTAGGATACTTTTTGAGAAAAAACCCCACATTTTTCTTTTTTGGAGGATATTAAACTTTCAGAAGAAAGTTTCCATTTTTAAGCATAATGGTGCATTAGCCTACATTTCCTGGCCATATCAGAATTTAGCCTTCTTCTCCTTTGGGGTTACTAAGACAAGATTTAAGTTTTAAAGAAAGTTTGTAACCCAATGTACTACATCAAGGAAATGCCAGTTAAAATATTCAAAGTGATAGTAGTTTAGAAACTCTTTGCATATATATTATGTACTCTTGCATAACTTTTTCAAAAGGGTCTGAGGAAATTTGTTAAAGTTAAAATGCACATTTACAGAAGCCATGATAATTTTTCTTTTCATCTTTGTACTTTTATTAAGGTAGATAAATCTCTTAATATTAGGACGGATTATGTACCCAATTCGGGAAGAGGAACAAAGAATAAGGTGGGACAGTAGAGTTCTTTCTATGTCTTAGCTAGTTGTGGTTTGAAGTATGTCATCCAAGATGTTTAGCCAGTGAAAATAATGAGCTCTATGGGTCTGTGTGTAAAAGGCTATTGCATGAGTATATTCAGGGAACTACCTAGCACTGCATTGGTATCATCCACCAGTGAAAGTTTGTGAAGACTTTTTGTTGTTTACAGGCTATATTGTTCCTATTTTTTTTATGTTTAGGAATTACATTCCAATATTAGTATTTTATTTCTGTATAATAAATTTCATAAACTTCATGGTTTATTATCTCACCTTCTCTGTAGGTCACATAGCCAAGCCTGGATCAGATGGGTATTATCTATAGACTTCCATGAGACTGTATAAAAATTGTCAGATGGGACTGTGGTCTCATCTGAGGCCCAAGGTCTTCTTCGAACCCTGCGTGGTTATTGGCGGAGTTGCAGGTTTTTGATTAATGTCCCTGTTTTCTTGCCAGCTGTCTGCCAGGGAATTTCTCAGCCATTAGAGCCTTCCCCCAGATTTTTGCTATATGGCATCCCCCCTACACTCATAGAACAGAACAGCTTACTTCTTTGAGACCAGTGGGAAGTGTGTAAGAGAGGGGGTGTCTCTCTTTTAGAAGTTCACCTAAGTCATCCCTACTCAAGTTAATCTCCCTTTTGATGAACTCAAAGTCAATTCATTACAAATCTTAATTACATCTTTAACCTCTGCTATATCCATCATATCTACATGTTCTCTGCACACTCAGTGAGGGAAGGGATTGCACAGGGTGTACACACAAGGAGGTGGAAATCTAGGGAGCTGTCATAGACTTCTTTCTGCCACCCTTGCTGTCTCCTAGCATTGTTGTACTATCATGGAAAGCCTAATGCTCTCACACTTGTTCTTCTATGAAGCAGATTTTTGAGCACATTCTGTAATCAGTATGCAGAATGCTCTGCTGAGTTTACGTCTGAAATCTTTGGGAACATAAGGCCCCACTTACTGCAGGGTTTTCCTTCACATCTGGTGATGGCATATGTGTAAACCTAGCCTAGGATATTTTCAGTCTGCTGTGCTGTCATTCATTCTTCTTTCTCTGATCTAGATGAAATATGGT